AATGCGTGCGTTAAAACGGTTTCTACCTGATACACCTGCTCGTATTACTGACTAAACTTTCGCTCCTTGTGCTTAAACAGTCAAATACACACATAGTTATGTGTCAAAATGCCCGTCTTTGCGACTATCCTCGTAAACACAGTTATTTGTGTCTTAAATTACCCCGTGCTGGTGAGCTTTTACCCCTCTTGCCACCTCATACATTTATACGATTTTTAAACAAAATAAACAACTTGAATGATTTATTTTCACACAAAATATGTTGCTCCATTAATGTTCAATACAACGTATATATTTTTTCTGCAATTATACATTTTAGGCGCAGTGAATGGCACATTTATTCTTAAGGTGGGCTTTTAGCCCCGTTGTACCCTATATATATATATCTCATTATTGTGATGGGGGGCCCTGCAGTAAGTCACAGCCCCGGGGCCCAGTGCGGTCTTAATGTGGCCCTGCCCGCGGCAACAGTGTTAAAGCAGCCCAATTCCGCGGGAAAACCGCGGACTTGGCAACACTGGAAGAGGATAGCTTTCTGATAGCGCATCAAGAACCGGGTTGACCGGGTACTCGGTACCACCGGTACTTAAGAAAACCTGGTACCGTAACGTTTTTATTTTTTTGGTACCGACTTGGTACCGAAATACCAGGTCTTTTGACAACACTAAGTGCATGTTTAAGGAGCAGCGGGCCGGGCCGCGAATACTTAGGCTAATGTACATAGTGGAAACCCTGATTAATTTTCTGTTTACCGATGTCGCCTTTCGTAGAGACAGTGAGGGGGACGGATCTGGTCACTATGAATCCAGCCCCCATCCCCCATCCCTAGTACCATCTGTGCGCCTGATTGTTTTCATAGCTGCCGAAAGTAATGACTGAAAAAGGGGTTTGGCCAATAAAGTGCAGGCATTGTACATAATCAACCAATAGCTTTCAGTCAAAGCAATGCAGATACACATACATAATGTATGAGGACTGTAGAGAGCATAGGTGTGTTCGACTTAAAGCAACGCTGGACAGACCGATTTGTGTATGACATCAAAGTACCGCGAGAGCGATAAGAGAGCAGACGGCTCCTTTTGCTTTCGAATCGCTCTTGCGGTACTTTGATGTCATACACTGATTGTTCTGTGCAATGCCGTTTCAAGTCGAACTCACCTGACATCAACAAAGCCAAAACAAAGACATTTTAGGCAATTTAGAAGTCCTGGCCAGGACATGTCTGGGAAAAGGAGGAAGTATGGTCACCCTAGCTAAGAGCTCATGCTGCTCTTCTATTGGTCATACATCTTCATGTGAAAAGAATTCGCAGGTCAGAGTTCACCAAACTCGAACTTTGGAATACAGCGAAATGTGAAAGTTCTTCGCATGAGCTTGCGTTTCCACTCTCCCGCATTCACATGCGTATGAATGGAAGTAAATGGAATGAAAGGTGTAGTGTGACCTGCCCCTATGGTGTAAATTATTGTAACATATTTCTTTACTTTTCTGGAATAAGGAGCCTCAATGAAGTACACGGCCGACAAATGCCACCTCTGGAGGGCGTAGCCTTCAAAATGAGATCCCGATTATGTTGGAGGGCAATCAAAGCCAAACTAGTTGAGTGTGGGAATGTTTTACAAAATTACAAACAACAAATGTGTGAAGGCCCTGATATGCTCATGGCAAAGTGAAACTCTTTCGTTCTTCGCTTAGAGGTAAAAAGCAGTTCTACATAAGGTATTTTAAGAAAGATAATGTGAATACAAATGAATAGTTTATCTGAATATGAAACATCTTAATACCTTTTGTATAATGGTAATATAATGGTTTGACATTTTCAAAAGCTGGTGTTTACCATGTTTCATTTATTAGTAAGAATATGTGTAACACAGTATTTAAATAATTACAAGATCTGAATAATTGATCAAAGCCTAGTGGTTAACTAGTGAAATAATCATTGATTAGTCGATTAATCAACCTAATGATCATTAGATTGGATGATCATCAGAATAATAGTTTTGCCCTGAAAGGCACACAAACATGACTGCATCACTATCTCATGATCCTCTGCTTAGCTCCTGTATGTGTGTGTGTGTGTGTGTGTGTCAGATAACCATGACCTGATCTCAATGAAGCTCTACCAGCTTACCATCCTCCGCAGCAAACAGGAGGATGTGGAGGAGCCGGAGGTGCTGATACCCAGCGTGGACAACATGGAGCTACTGAGACGTGAGTATGAGCTGATGATGAGCAATGCATGCTGACACGTGCAGACGTGTGATGCATGTGTGTGTGTTTCTCAGCGTACACAGATACGGAGGGCATGAGCAGCATCGCCATCTTCTTCAGCGTGCTCTTCTCCATGCTGGGTGTGTTTCTGCTGGTGGTGGTGGGACTCGTGCTGTACGGACACTGGAGAGAAAACAGACGGAAACGCTTCTACTGACCTACTCGTCTCAGCACTTCCTGTCTGAATGTTTCTACACTGTATGAATGACGTGGTCCACTGAAGTTCTGACCGTATGGACCTCTGAACACTCGACCCGTTGTCAAGTTTCAGCTTCAGTTGAGATCAGACATGATGATGAGAGCATCACACGATCGGAACTCTCCCAGCATCCTGCGCTTCTGCTGCCTTCATTCTCACAACAGACGCCATATTTATTCTTTATTATTTATTTATTGTACAGAGCATGTACCATCTTGTTTTTTGCCAAAATGATTATCTGTCTCGATTCAAGTGGGAAATCTAAAGGTCTTATGGAATCGAAATTAAAGTTTTGTTGCTTTTACTCTTTTATCTGTATGCCGCTGCTGTAATGCTAAACGTTGAGCATTCAACACTTGAAAATGTCTGTCTCTCTGAGATTAATGTAAATGCTATCGAATGCTAAAGATGACAATGGCAAAGAACCCAAACTCCATCAGGTGATGGAAACCGGACTCCGTTGAGGGACCAGTTCTCCTCTGGTCTAAATCAAGGGTAGGCAAGTTCAGTCCTAGACAGCTGCTGTTCTGCAGAGTTCAGCTCTAACCCCAATCAAACACACCTTAACAAGCTAATCAATGTTTTCAAGATTATTAAGTCAATAGGCAGGTGAGATTGTTTCAGGGTTGGAGCTAAACTCTGCGAGACAGCGGCTTTGTAGGACTGAACTTGCCTACCCCTGGTCTAAATGAACAAATACAATGAGGTTTATCGTCAAGACTCAGATCTGTGGACCGATGTTACTGAAAATCAGATGGACATCAGTCTTGACTCTGTAATGAAAGATCATTCTCCAGGTCCAGTGAATCTGAGAGACTACTTTTAACTTAAAAAAAATAAAAACTATTGAAAAATACTTGAAATTCCACCTGAATGGCCATGTTACCATAAAGAATCAGCTATGAAGGGGTGTGATCGTTTAGTGTGTGAGATGCAGTGAGAATGTGTTAAAATCTGCAACTGTGCCAGTGTCATCTATGTTTCACTTCTTTGTGAAAGAGCTATTGTGAATAAGGATTGTGCATTTTGCAGGAAAGTGTGCAGATTTTGAGTTGATTATGGCTGACAGGAGAGGACAGCACAAAATCACAAGGAGGATTCAGGACTAGTACCTTAACCTTCTCCCCTTTCAGAATGGCCTGAGTGGAAATCCTTATTGTTTTTTGACATCTGAGATGACAGCATCAGAGATGCCTGTAAAAAATGGCATTTGAATTTCCATTAACACTTCAGTCACTTCAGTAAAGATGATGAATAAACATTAGACATCTAAAATCTTAATTGAGTCATAAGTACCATCTCATTAGTTCCCTCTCATAATCTCCATTAAAGGATTAGTTCAACCCAAAAATGAAAATTAGCCTGTGTTTTACTCACCCTCGAAGCATCCTAGGTGTATGTGACTTTCTTCTTTCAGATGAATCCAATCGGAGTTATATTAACTATTATTATATTATATTAACGGAGTTATATTGGATAAATATCCATATTTCAAACGTAATAAACACTTTTTTCTCACTTCCGCTGACTGTCATACACGGAACGTTTTGATGTAAACGTTTGACGTTTGATGCTAAATATATTGATGACTATTATATGACAATATAATAAAAATATTAACATATTAGAATAGTATAATATTACCTTATATATTAATTATAATATTACTGATATTTGAAAGCCCCAAAACAAACAAGAGGGTGCTTGCTGCAGAGCCAAATGGGAGGAGCTGGAGGTCATTTGGCTCTGCAGTGAGCAGTACTTGAAACAAACACTAAAAGGCCCATACCCCAACAGGACCTCGCCCCCTTATCTCACTTAGTAAATATGAAGCAAAAGCAGTAATTAAAGCATATACCACTAAGGAGTGGCAACATAAATGGGATACAGGAAATACAGGACGTCAACTTTATGAAATACAGCGAGAAGTAGGAGTCGTGAGAATAACTAAAAGAAGCACCAAAGAGGAAAATATTCTAACAAGATTAAGGGTTGGGCATACTATGCTGAATAAAACCTTAAAAATAATAAATAAACATCCAACAGGATTATGTGAGCACTGTGGAATGGAGGAATCAGTAGAACATGTTATTTGTGTTTGTCAAAAGTATACTAATGTATACTAATGAACAAGAAACAATGAAGAATGAACTTAGAAAGATGGGAGTGGATAACCTAAAGCTTCAAAATATATTTACTTATGGACTAGAAAGTGTATTTTTGTATCTTAAGAGAACAGAGCTGATTAAGAGAATTTAGTGGGAAAAATCTTCTTGAGGTATTTTTTGTCCTCTTATTATGAAAGGGTAAACTCTGGTTCACACTCCAATACAGTAGGTGGCGATAATGCACCTTAACATTGGTGCTACCCGCCATAAAACCGAAGAAGACGAAGAAGAAGAAGAAGAAGGACCTCGCCCCTATTTTGATAACTCCGCCCCACACGTAGCCTACGTACACAACCCTGGCAGCCATGTTGCGTCTCAATCAGCTCCTGAGCTCGTGAATCAGTAGATCATGTACAAGAATTCGGGCACTGGTAAGTTCCCTGACTCACTGCACGTTGGGACAGTGATCACTTGAATTCCAGTTACATGATTAATTACAACATCAACGGACAACATAGTAGAACGTCATCACTGGAATTAATAAACAAAATATGAATTATATATGTTAATTAGATGTGTTCAATTCCTGTCTAGCGATGTGTGTTTATGTTGAAATATACTAAAAACGGTTTGTCTTTTCAAATCTTCTATCGCGTGTCATTATATCAAGTTGGCTCGTGTGGTTTATGTTTCGCGCTTCAGAAATGTGACGTTATTTCCGGTAAGGGAGCAGTGAGCACCGATGCGCCCTAGTTTTTGCGGTGCATTGTCGGATTTTTCAGGGAGCAAACGTTCCAATGCACTGGAAGGATTTCGCGATTGAGACAGCCCTTAAAGTGGCCGACTCCCTGATCAGTGCCCTTACTACTGAACAAGGGAGCTGATTGAGATGCACCATAGATATGTAGGTAGATTCCCCATTTGACTGCGCCAAGCATGCAGACGCGTCCGCCATTTTTAACGGTTAACTTGACGTCATTCACCATAATAATCAATGAATATTCGAAGATGACGCAATTCTGCACAGCCAATGGTTGTAAAAACCACCAGAATTTGATTTGAAACATTGGTAACTTACGTTACTGTTATGGTGAATGACGTCAAATTGACTTTTCGAATATGGCGGACTGCTTACGTATAGCGGCCCATAGTAACAGTCGCTAATGAGGCATCTACTTATACATATCTATGCTGGCAGCGACCATGGCGGAATCTGCTATGATGTCATCATCAATAAGTGAAAGCGATGTGTGTTACTATGGTAAAAGTAAGTAAAAATCAACATAACTCACCTATCAAGAAGAAACAAAGCATGGCGTCCGATTCCAGGCCTTCCCGCTCCTTGAGTTTCTCCACCGATGGAAAGCTGCTCCTATTTACGGGGGTCCTATACCTCTTGCCTGATCGTAACCCTTCTTTTGAATGTTTTGTTCCTCCAAAATGTTCGTCTTTTTTTATCTGCCGTCTCTCTCTATCCATAGTCGATCTGCTAATATCCGTCCTGTGCACTCACTGAGCGCTCTTCTCAGTCATTACTACACACGCCCCTTACTGCTGATTGGCAGCGAGTGTGTTTTGGGACTCAGTCTGACACAAAAGCGTTTTTCAAGTATTGCTTAGTGCACCTTTAAAGTGCCCCTATTATGCCTTTTCGAATATTACCTTTCATGCAGTGTGTCATAGCTGTACGTGAACATAAACTATCTGCAAAGTTGTGAAGCCGACAGTGCACGATAAATAAAGTTACTGTCTATCAAAAAAAGTCGGCTCGCAATCACCTAAACCAGTCTTCAGGAATTCGAATCTTATTCTGTTACATCTCTATGTCACGAAGTAACATTTGCATAATGTCTGCCCACGTTCTACGTCGCCATCTTGCCCACCCACAAACAGTAAAATTTCCGTGTGCTTAACATCATGTCTAGAAGACGCTATATCCTATGCTGTGAGAGTAAATGTGTTTTATCACATCTTATAATTACCACAAACTTGTTAACACTTGACACTTACCATTGAGAAACGTCCTGCTCCAGTCGTGCTTGCGAATCAGTCTCTTGGCGATCAGCCAGTTCAACAGTAATGCCGAGTTCACACTGCACGATTTTAGCCCGATTTTTCACTCGTCACAATCACGCAGTGTGCAATGATTTCTGACTGAAAACTACATCGGCGATGACCTATAGCCAATGAGAGACCAAGATACAGGGCAGTGGGAAGTTCGCGGAGGAGTTATATGAAACGTAGTTTGCGGACCAGTGTTGCCAAATCCGCGATTGCCGCCGGTTGGTTTTTATGTCAGCAGGTTGAAGCGATCCCAATAAGTGATATTTAGGCCCTGGAATGTGAATTGTACCAAGAGAACCCCGCCAAAAAAATGTGTATTTTATTGTGAACTCGGCATAAGGTACAATCGATACCATCTTTTCAATGTATTGACAAGTCTCCAGCGCTGTCATTCCATCATGGCAATGGGCGTTTCGTTTCCGACACGCGCTGTACGCCGTAGACCAATCCAGAGCCAATCTCTCTACGTCTCTGGACCAATCACAAAGGACTGCACCATCTGACCAATCACAGAAGGGAGGGCTCATGGAAAGGAGGGGTTTAGAGAGCCTGATTCTTTGAACTGCTTCGCACAAGTCGTTTATGAATCATTTAGAAATTAGGTAAAGTTAAATCTATTTTTTGAGAAAACTAACATGTTTTTTGACCTTGCATGCATGTAAACCTGTTTTAGGAGACTCATAAAACAATATTAGCAACCTTAAAATGGCACAATAGGTTTAAAGGTGCTTTAAAGAAGTAACTTTAAAGGTGCAGTATGTAATACTGAAGGCTAGCGGTTGAAATGGGTGCTGCAGTTCATCCTCATACTCAGCGCTATTGGGGAGACTAACACAACGCGGGTTGCCAGTTTGAAGACATGCAACAGGAACGAGCGCAATTGACAATGGAAGGTGACGAGCCCTACAAACTGTAAGCTGATGAGTTAATTTATTTACGTTTTAATGTTCCTCTGGTCATAGAGCTTTTTAGATGTATCCGGAGGCTTTTTAGGTACTGACCCAGTTCTTTTGCTGGATTCCATGGATGCAATACGCTGTGTTTTCCACCATGTGGTAACCCGGGGTATCAAAATACTATTAGGTAAACTGGCAGTAGGCGGAGTCACAAAGACCAAAACAAAAACAGTCATTCTGACACGGAATGCACATTTTTGAGTAGAATAACTGGCTGTAGCATCGTTTTCAGAGAAACAAGTATGCGAACTTAGCGTTTCCTAAATATCTGCAAATGTATTATGGGATTCTCATGCCATATTACAATAAAAAAAATTACATACAGCACCTTTAATACGCACTAATAACATTTTCTGTCCCTCGTTTTCACTTATGACTCAGTCAGCTGTGCACAAATACTGCAGCAGCAACACACGTATTAGCTTTCAAAAGAGTTGAAAATGATGTACTGATGAACTGAAAATGTTTTATTCCATGTTTATGCTCTTAAACATATATTTAATTGTTGAAAAATCATCGCAACACTGCATTTCAATTCAATTCAAGTTTATTTGTATAGCGCTTTTCACGATACGGTAAAATTGGTATCTATGTTGTCAGCATGACCCAAGGAATGTTTTGAGACCAGTTTGATTACAATAGGCTAATGTAATGAGAAGTTATAAGCATTTTTGGAAATTTCATTATTAATGGTTAATGATTGGTTTAACACTTTTGACCAATAGGTGGCGCTGTTACCAAATTGATCTGGCATGGTCAGTGTGAGGTGACAATGGTACATACAAAGTTTGGTGTAAATATGTCAAAGCTTTGCAGAGATACAGTCTCAGACGCAGTTTGGCATCATTCCAGCAAATTCGTTGATGCGTTAAACAATGACCGTTTTGTATATCGACACGAAATCCATAACTTTTTGCGTGCATGGTCTGAAGATGATCGGAGTTAAATTTGGTGAAAATTGGACCAACGGTCTAGGAGGAGTTCGAAAAAGTAGGTTTTCAACATGAATCAAAATGGCGGACAGGAAGTTCAGCCAATTATGGCAAAATTTTTATCGATGTTCTCAGCAT